GGTCTATAGCTACTCGCTGACGCAAATATCTTGGCATGAGTAAACTTTATGGCAGTGCTCCTTTAATATTAGTTCCATATTCCTAATAACGAACACGAAAGCAGACCAAGTATCTTCTAGGAATGCAAAGGAATCGTGGGGCATCGTCCCTTCGAGACGCAAAATCAATTGATACACAGAATCATTCCACTTCGTGCACCACACGTCAAGCATACTTTATATACCAGTTGTCTTTAAAAAGCATCGAGCCCTTGATAAGCGAACTTGTAATTAATTTTATTATACCCTAAAAACTTTCAATGTAGCCTGCTCGGTAATGCACGCACTTATGCCAGTGCTACGGCTACTTCGGAAAGACTTTTGGAATGCATTTCACGAATAGTGACGTGGCAGGTAGTGGTACTCCGCATAATGTCTTCACTATATCCAATAGTCTCTTCCAGCGGCCTTTTTAGCTTGAGAAAGAGTCTAAATTCACAAGGAGCCTTGATGAGGTAGTAGAGAACCTGATCAGCTAAGGAATATTTTTGAAACAGATTTCCTTGCGCTCTATTGTTAGCAGGCCCGGTGGCAAATTTCGCGTACATTCTGCGAATGCCGATCTTTCATTTGAATTTGTTGTGCCGATTTCTTTAATGTGCCATGTAGTTGGGAGGCTCTGATGCTGTGACACAATGGTCCCCCTTTAACGAAGTCCGGGCTGCCTCAATGAGATTATTATTTAAGCCTGTTGAAGGTCTACAATGTCACACTTCACTGTTTTCTTGTGGGCAGCCATTACTTAAGTGAGTGTACCTATCCTTTATCGAAAAGAGTTTGTGGAATTATCACCGAAGGTATTTTGAGTTTGGCGAAGGGCTTTGGTAGCTTAAGTTTCTGCCTTATTTTGGTGTAATATCGCAGTCCATGTCGTGGCTTCATACTACAATAACTTACTTGAATGAGATATGCCTTCTATCATCCTCCCTTGAGGGTGGATAGGCAGAAGGTGACGCATTCTGCGGCTGCTAAAAAATTGGGTCATGTGCATGAATATGTCCTCCACATCTCCACCAAAGAATACTCCCACGCTTCATTGCCTCACGTGAAAAACAGATGGTTTGACACATTCCGCACATTTACTCTTCATAAAGCAACCTGTGCAGTGTATATTTCAGGCACCTAAATAAACATGCAGAAAAATACTGTTGTGACTACAGTATGCACATTGTGAAGTATACAAAGTGTTTCTGCGAATAGATACTTTTTCAATGAAAGCGCTGTCACAGTCAAACTCTCCTCCTTTTTGTCCATGAATTTTACTTCCAGGCGGAAATACTGCGTAAAGTTAAAGTGACATCGACTTTACTAATGAATAAGAACTCGTTCATTGAGCGAATAATTGTTCAATTAAGGGTAGTTGGTTGAATTGGAAGATTTAAATCAAACAAATTAGGCTATACGCATCATTTTGAAATCACAATTATGGTGTGCATTTTAAGTCGAACACCTTCTAACTTTAAAAGCCATATTGAAATGTCCGCGCCCGGCCAGTCTAATGTAGAAAATGACTCCCTAATATTGAGCTAAATTTTAGTTTTTTTCAAATAAATGGGTGTATTATAATTAACGATGGTCAGCGACTTTCCGATCAATAACTTACAAGAGCCTTAACGAGATTTCTTATTAGTCAGGCGGATGTCACTTTAGCTGTGGTGGAGTACTTCCGCCTTGATAATTTCTTTTCAAAAACATGGGAGCCTGATCATCGTAAGATTCTTGTTCATAAATGTTTACAAAGCTTGCCCTATGCCACACAAAGCTTCAAACAGCGTTACTAGGTGACACCGAACACTAATCCAGTTGTTTCTAGGTTGTGTCTAGGACTTAGGGTCACAGGTTTCGTGTTGCTTCAAACTTATTGCTGCGCTTTAGCCAGGTGGTGCTGTGTTGTTTCACAATCTCCTTCAGGTTTTCGTTCCACCACGTCGTTTCACGTTGATTCCCGTTGCAGAGAGACTTAACTTAAACCACAACCACAGAGACTACACGGTTTTCGAAGCTCCAGACGCAGAAACTCTTGTTTGAACCAAGCGTTCACGCCTCTCGTAGATCTGCAGGCACGTCGTCAATGGCGGATGTTTTCCATGGTTTTGTGGTGTTGTCGCAGCCGCCATCCTTTTGCCCTTCTCTTGTACTCTCTTGTTATACGTACTCGGGGTCTCTCGGTCCCGTTACCTCACGGATATCTGTTGCTCTATTTATAGCCTTCATTTTTAGTGGACTAGCCGGGAGCAGTACGCTTTATGCAATTTTTGTAGCACGTAGCCTTCTATGATAATGAAAATTTTTTCGGAAAGACCCGTAGAGCATTATTTGGTAAGCAGCTGTATTAATAAAATCTGTACAGTCTAAAAAAAGTCAGTTTAGCTGCAACGACGAATGCTAAGAAGCCGATAGCAACATATTGTAGTGTCACACGAAAAACGGCAAACAGCTTCATACTTGCTGCACCCTCCTCGAACTCAAAGGATGCACGACAAAAGCACACACTAGCCGAGTGCGAACTGACAAATGTCACAGCTCGCCATTTACCATGCGCGTGGTTCATTCACAAAACAGGATGCCTGGAATTAACTCCCACCTACGCAGAGGACGTGCGCGCGCGAACCAACTGTTGCAGTTGTTACATAAAGTAGCCCTCAATCTGGTTCTCCTTGACAGCACTACATTACTTTCACAAAGGCGGCCGCTGCAACGGCCTTAATGCGCTTTGTAGCACATAGTGTATAGCAAACTCTTCAATTAAAGCAAACTAACGGAGCAACCTCCCCACACGCGCGACCACATCATGAATGTCAAAGACCAAGTAAAAAGCTCTTATCCTTGATAAAATATCGAAAGAGTTTGAAATCAGTACTTCGAAAAGCTAGGGGTCCAAGAAAGTTTGTCAACTGCGAAGGCACCTGAAGAAAACTGAAGCCACTTTAGGGCGCTTGCTCTCGCGTTTTCCAAAAACCCAAAATTCGTAAACAACCACGAAAATTACGCAAACAAAGCGAAAGTGATAGTACCGCAATGTTCGACTCTCACGTAATTTTATTTGAACCCCATTTGCCCCTCCATGCGTTTCAACCAACTCCGCCCGCGTGTGATCAAATTCTCAATCACGGCTTCTTTTCCGAAAACGAAAAGAGCAACCTACTTAACGCAGCCACTGACGGGGCCAAGGCCTTTAAAGTGCGCCGTTCGCACCACCTACACTATTGTGAACGCGCGTGCGTGACCCTTCAATCTGCAAATATGCTAAAATTCATAGAAGCGTTAAGATACGCCCAGTACTTCCGCCCTCTTCCAGTCAACATGACAAGTAACTATTACAGTGGGAGGCACATTGTGTGGGTATAGACAGTGGCTAAGAATCATTCTACATGAACGCCTCCAGCCCTCCACTAGGGGAGGGGTACACAGCTGTAGTCAACCACCAAAATGCCACGTAGCTTTAAAAGCTGAAAATAAACACATGCAGAGGATGTCACCATCGCGCTAGCTGCCGCAACCACGACTCATGGGTTGTCACTACCTATACTAAGAAAGCCCTGCAGAAATATTCAAAAAGGGTGCATCCATGACCTTCTGCATCACATCCTTCTATATAGCAAATACCTTGTAGTCTACACGTCTTGAGTTAACTTATGGGCTCTAGCACATATGAACCCAAAAGGCAACGAAACGCAGACACGGCTGCACGCGCGCTGTGTCTCCGGACGACGCGCTTAGACCCTTTCGATATCAATCCCTAACTGATCCGGCCTTCTCTTTTCAAAAAATTAGTTAATTATATCAATTCCACCTCGTAATTTTAGGCGCCTCAACCTCTCCACAGTAAAACAGTTAAAACAGAACAGAACCTCATAATTTATCCTAAACCAATAAATGCCATATCGAAGAAGGGGAACGCACACTCGTTCTCTTACGCACGAAAGCGCTGCTGTTTCCGGTGATTTTAGACCATTTCGACCTTGCCTGTACAGGTCAAAGAACGCGCTATGCAGAGAAGTCTCCAGACTTCTTCCACATTCCACGGCCATGCCTGAATTTTGTTTCGAATTCAAACCTCATCCGAGAGGACGGGCCGGCATTCGTTCTTCGTGCTTCTGACCTGGAGAGCTGCAGAGGGTTCTTGTAGACTGAGTCTGAGTTGCGGCGGTCATGAATGGGCAGTTGTAATAAGGAGCAGGATTCTGATTAACTGGGACAAAAAGGTAGTGGCGACTACAATAATACGCCACGATTTTCTATATCTTTGCTATCACAACAAAAAACTGTACAATTTGCTCACCTATACTTGATTGCTACAGGTTTTTGCCAAGTTTTCTGACATTTGCTATTCTGTCATTAAATTTTCCTTTTCTCAGCTAGTTTTAATTGGACACTGTTTTTTAAATGTTCTTAAGTGTCTACTGGACACTTAAGACACCGTGTAATAACACCGTGTAACGTGGGTAGTATGTAGTTGTCTGATAAAAAGCCCGTCAGAGGTTGTGCGCCCAATGTACGTTAACGTTATGAGTGTGCGGTTATGATTATAGTCGAATACAACCTGATAAGTCCGGGAAAGCCCTGCCCAGCCGACAAGTTATGGCAGCTGGTCACCTCAGCGACTATAAAACTAATCTCGCTCTTGCTCTCCGCAACGTTCTCTGCTGGCGGAGTCGACGGCAGTCCGGCTCATGACGACATTCTGGATTGCACACCCACTGGTGTAGGCTTGTGTGCATCCACATTCGAATAAATGTCATTGACTTGTGAAGTTGTAACGCACTATAGTTATGAAGAAATACTGATAATTATGTTGTGTATGTTATTTAGTTTATATGTGAGTTCTAAGATTCAGCCTGTTCTGTTTCTAATATTATTGAAGAATGGAAAAGAGGCTACGTATTTTGTAATTTTTCTAGAAAATGAGTTTGTAACTTTGCACGATTAACCAGAAATGTTGCCTTTTGGTATGTTTCTAGGAAATAGACCATGTGAACGAATGAAAAACCAGTGTCAAGGACATACAAGGCCGAATTGTCTCTTCATGAAACATAACACAAGAGGCTGGCCCAAATTTATGTGCAGTAAGTTTTTTAATGTATTTTTGGCATTACTAACACGCATCCAGATTCTCTTAATTGTAGGCACTTAAGTATGGCGTTGCTCTTTCTATGTCTGTGATACATTTGCACGAAAGGCGTTCGATCATTTATATTTATAATCAGTTCTGGCAGGTTGACAAGGGTCCTCAATATTGTTAGATTAGCTGCCTAATGCTAATTTTTAACCTGACGAATTCGGTTGTGAAAGTAATGAAGCGAACTATCCTCAGCAGACTTGAGCGAATCCTCGACCGTAGCACAATCTGCCCTGATGTTGTGGCTGGCTTTCTATGACACTAATGTTTCATCCGCAATGTTATCAATCTTGCTGCTTACGTTCAGCCTCAAAAAACATACAAACGATTATTTGTCACCATGCTTCTTGATCTAATACGACCTTACCACGAGGGTTCGTCAATGCGCATAACTGTAGTTCTGCAATGAGGGGTGCTAGCTAGGCACTGTATTGTCGGACCATCTCTTGGGTGGTCTTCCTTTGTGAACAACCAAGACGGCTCAACTTCTTCATATTAACTACATTTTGGTGTTCCCCAAGGCAGTGTCTTAGGTCCGCACTCTTCAACCATGTATACTCGTTTTTATCGAGGACAAACTAATCAATGCGCTCATACTATCAATGTTTACCGGTGGTATCGGGATCTCGGCATCGAGTATGCGACACTGCCTCAGACACGCGCAAAGTTTCTGAAAGCTGTGCCGCTAATATTGATGTACGTCAATGGAGAAGACCTCAAGACCTTGTGAGCAAAGTTCGCACCAATTATATTGCGACAAAAGCCAATCAACAAAATCATACGACATGTTTATCGACAGCCGAGCCTTACACTGTGCAACGAAAACAAATTCTAAGACATATTCATCAATACTCACTTTCTTGTGGGGCTTATCCTCAAGAAGTCTGTGACGAATACCATTTCATGTCAAGTTTTTTGAAGGATATACATGGTGAACTTCGGAGCATGCGATGATGCCGCTGCACGATACTGTCTGCACGATGCCGCTGCACAATGCTTGTGGTACAGCTTCGTGTGCTCACCATGACCTGCAAGTATATTCGCACACTCAAAAGCACTCATGCCTATAGTCACTCCGGCTTTTTATTGAATTGCCGTGATGCTCATTCCCAACTCAAAACACGGTAATCGCAAACCACTACCTGCAATCGGCCCATGTTGTAATCGAAGTGCTAAGAGCAGAGGTCGGGCAGTGAAAAATGAAGGTCGCAAAAAGTTAGACCAAAAAATGGCTACGAAGTGACCACGGCTAACCGAAGTACCAAGTATGTACAATGAGGGAATACTAATAATGGGCAAGGCAATGACAGTTGCTATAAGAACCCGAAGTGATAGAAGGCTTTCACCTAATGTTGACGTGCTTGTAGATCTATCAGATGTGCGAACGCTTGGTTTCAGCGCGTGTTTCTGTCTTTGGAATTTGAGCACTGCAAGCTCTTTGCGCTGACACTGGGCATCAACATAGCATAACGACCTATATATCAACCAAGAAATTAGCCTACAAACAATCTTCCTCACCGAGCTAAGGCCCGTAAAAACATAGAATCAACCAGAATTGTCTTCAGATTTCTCCAATTGAAGCCGTGCGCGGCTTAGGGCGTGGTTCACTTTTTTTAGTGTGAAGCATTTCTCAGCAAACTTCGGCGGTTTTTTACGTATCTATCTATCTATCTACCTATCTATCTACCTATCTATCTATCTATCTATCTATCTATCCTTCTATCTATCTATCTGTCTGTTTGTCTGTCTATCCATCTATCTATCTATCATCTATCTATCTATTTATCTATATATCTATCTTTCTATCTATATCTTTATCTTTCTTTCTTTCTATCTTTCTATCTTTCTTCCTTTATTTCTATCTACCTATCTATCTATCTATCTATCTAGTTTTTTATTTAGCCACCTACGACTTTTAGCTCTCCTGGCCGTTTCAATGATGGGATCTATACTACAATGGTATGACATAACATGAATGTATGATGAGCATAACTGACTAGTCATAACATGAATATCATCACCTCTATGTCATTAATGTCATGATTTCCATATCATGGTCTTGCTGCTCTTGCGATGGCTTCGGTCAAATGACGTATTGCAAAAGTGGCATGGTATGACATGACTGCATAGTGAACATGAGTCACAGACGCTAACCTGGAAATCATGACGTGTATGTCATGTAAGTCATCACTACACATCACGCTCATGGTGCGCTTGTGGTCGTTTCGCTAGCATCACGGATACAAAGTTTCGTATTGGGGCCGTCAATGAATAACGAACGTATATGAGTGGTGCAAATATGATAATCATAAGATGGTGTCATGCAAAACATGACTACATTCGACGCTCATACTGCGCTCGCTGTCCTTTTGCTAGCTTCACTTATAGCAAATTCGGTATAACGTGACCTAAATAGCCGACGAAGAGAAATGGCACGTTCAAAGATGACAATCAAGGCATTGAAGTGATTTACCACACAATTTAAGTCTGTTTCGTAACGTTGTGCTGACTTTAAAGTGAGATCAACCTTCCTCATTCCTGCTGCGCATATCACCGATTCCCACTGTACGTGTAATCTGCCAATTTTTTCCCTCGAAGCAGTTTCTTGAAATGACATGGTTTTATGGTAGGAACGCAGGCTTCCTACTCAAACAGTATATTTTTGTTACTTATTTACTTTGGATCTTTGTAATTTTGCGCTCAAAAACAGCACTAATTTTATTTACTTGGAACCAACCACGACAACGCCGACAACGATGCCGACACTGGCACCTACACCGAAATTTCTGTGAAACGAGTTTTTCACTGCTCTCAAATTGATTGATTGATTGATTGATTGATTGATTGATTGATTGATTGATTGATTGATTGAACATTTATTATCATTTGTCACATGAAGTTTACAAGCACTGATATGACCCATAGCCTGAGGCCAGTGTAGGGTCCAATGAGAAAAGTAATGGACAGAAGCAGGAAATATCAATTACACATAATACATATGTAGTTATACAGACACTGTAAATATACACATATACAGAGTAGAGAAGTCTTTCTCTTCTTAAACAATCTGGTCACACCAAACAAAACTGCATGTGCGCATACAAAAACTTATGACAGATAACTTCGTGGACACACCCAAAAACATCAGTTAAAATACATAAAGAACATCAAACTATCACAAGTTTTAGTTAGAAGAAAAAAAATGCTAGGTTTACAAGATTCACCAGCGTATATTTATAGAAATGTAAGTGCTTACCCCCAAAGAGAAAAAGAAGCTTACAATTAAAACTTTCTCAAAGAGCAATGTATTTTATAAATAATTCAAACTACATGGATTATACGCAACCATTCTCCTGAAGCCTGAATACCATGTTGTTCAGCGTGCTAATTGATTATATGAAACTGCGCTTATGGCACTTTCACAGTATTCAGTGTTCTCAGCACAATTTTCATGAGCGCGCTTGTGAACGAACAACGCGAGACCGTGTTCCGCAGTTTCAAGATTACCTTTCAACCATTTCTTTTACCTCGTCTTCTCTCTTTTCTACCCTTTCCTTCTGTTATTCCCCATTTCCATCACTACAAGTGTAGACAATCAAGCCAAAGCTTGGTTTACCTCCCTGCCTTTCTTCTCGATTTCTCTCTCTCTCTCTACTCTTGGTTCTCTTGGTTCAATTTTGTGATCTAGCTACGCAGCCGCAATAAGGTAAAAGCAAACCATCCCACTGCGCAAACGAAAGCGTATAGATAATATAAAACCTAAATGCAAGGATGTCGCTGTGTTGAACAGCCATAAAAAAACAGAATCATAATTTCTCGTTAGCACTGAAAATACATTATTAAGTAACATAAAAACACCCAACGTAGTATTGCTAGAAAAATGGCACTATCTCCTCGTAGGGAGCCCTAATGGGATGTGAAGCAGCAGCGGTGCGTCCAGCGTTAAACCGGTTGAAGCGGGCATCGACGCGGGTGCCTAAAGAACGATTTGTAGAAAACTCGGTTTAGCATTTATTCAAGTAAACTCTTCTTTGAAACTCAAATATACAGGAGACGGGCTGGGTTTCATCTAAGTTTCATTAAAGCGCTTTGCAAGCCTTCGTAGTCTCCGTTTCTTCAGTGTGGACACGGCAGCAGAACCGGATTTGGCACGCGTTTCCCCTTGACTATGACGGCCTTGTGATCACTGAAGTGCAAGCTGAGAGGTTCCTGCAGACATACGACGTCAAATTCGGCAAAGACTAGATTGATGCGCGTTGTTCTTATCGTGGTGGGTAGATTAGCGGTGGTAGCAGCAGGTGTTGTGGCGAACGGATGAGGCGGTAGCTGTAGGTGCTGCAGCAAGCGCGCAGCAGAGAAAGTGACGTCAGCACGTACTGCGATGGGAGCGTGACACAAACGCGCAGCTGCAACATGGCCTACTTGGCACTGCTCCAACACCTGCGGTGAGGGGAACGCATTGCAGTGCGTTCGTACGAACGCAAGTAACTACGACTTTACACACGTGAGTCAAAACAGCTGCTTCGCATCAAAATGCACATTAAATTCACCAAAATGCATAATAATGCTGCATGTTATTGCAGTCAATAGTGTATACACTTTCATACATGCATATGTGTAATGTACGCATATTTCCTTTTCTTTATAGCCTTAATGCTATTGCTCCGCTCTGGTGGTGCGGTGGTGATTCCAGCTATAGGAATCACTCTGCGAATCAAACTGTCACATGTCACTACGTCCACAGCGGCAGAACTTGCGGCTTTGCGTGGCGCCCTAGAGTACATCAAATCCCAAAGACCGAGTATATGAGCTGTGTTTTCCTACTCAAAACCAGCCCTACAGAGCATGCAGTCAGTCCTTCGACGAGTTTGCCATGAACAATTAACTTAAGAAGTTGTCAAGCTTGTTCACCACGTCACAAAAACAGGCCACGAGGTCAAGTTTCAG